GAGGAGGAGGGAGAGGAGGAGGAGGAGGAGGAGGAGGGGGAGGAGAAGGGAGAAAGAGGAGAGAGGAAGGATGATGAGCGAGAGGAAGTAGGATGAGGTGGGGGAGCAGGAGGAGGGGGAGGATGGAGGTTGCACCTGCCTTTGTAGTTTTCTGGTGCGTTCGGTGCGTATGGCAGAATCTGTGCTGCAACATTGTATCCAAACAGGCTTGCCTATGCGAATCCTAGCTCAATTCCAAGAGGAATTGTCCAAGGTTCCGAGGCGCGGGCTCAAATTTGACCTAGCGCGATCTCGGTAGTTCTTTGGCCTCTGGCTAGTTCCATGGCATCCTATGGCTAGTTCCTTGTCTTGCTTTGGCTACTCCCCTGGCTTGCTATGGCTTGTTCCATGGCTTCCTATGGCTAGTTCCATGGTTTGCTGTGGTTGGTTCCGTGGCTTGCTACGGCTAGTTCCCAGATTCCTATGGCTTCCATGGCTAGACCCGCAACTAGTTCCTTGGCTTGCTATGGCTAGTTCTCCAAGTATGGTTGCCTATAGGAGTCCCAGCTCAATCCCTAGAGAATTGGTCATGAAGGCTGGGCGCGGGAGTAGTTTTGACATTGCACGATCTTGCGAATTCCATGGCTGGTTCCATGGCTTTTGTCTAGTTCCATGGCTTCCTGTGGTTAGTTCCATGTCTCCCTATGGCAAGTTCAATGGACTCCAGTGGCGAGTTCTATGGTTTGCTATGGCTAAATATATAGCTGGTTCCATTGCTTTATGGGGCTAGTTCCATGGCTAGTTGCATGGCTTCCGATGGCTAGTCCCATGGCTTCCTATGTCTAGTTCTATGGCTTCCTATGGTTAGTTCGATGGCTTCCCGGCTAGTTCTGTGCATAGTTCTATGGCGTCCTATGGTGAGTTCAATGGTTTTATATGGCAAGTTCTATGCCTAGTTCCATGGCTTCTTAGGGCTAGTTCTATGGAGTCACATTGCTGGTTCTATGGCTTCCCATGGCTAGTTATATGCCTTGCGCGCTTGATTTCTTGTTTGCTTGCGTGCCTGCTTGCGGTCCAGGGAGTCCGGCGAGTCCAGGTATTCCAGAGAGTCCAGAGCGTTTGGGGAGTCCAGGTAATCTAGGCAATCTTGTTGTCGTTGTCGTCGTCGTCGTCGTCGTCGAATCGTCGCGCCGTCTCGTCGTCTTTGCCGTGTCGTCGACGTCGTCGTCTCGTCGTCGTCGTCGTCGTCGTCGTCGTCTCGTCGTCCTCGCTGTCATCTCGTCGTTGTTGTGTCATCGTCGTCGTATCGTCGTCGTTTTCTCGTATTCGTCGCCTCGTTGTCGTCAGCGTTTTCGTCGTCGTCGTCGTTGTGTCGTCGTCGTCTGCGTCGCCGGCTCGTCGTCGTCGTCGTCGTCATCGCCTTCGCATCGTCGTCGTCTCATCGTCTTTCTCGTCGTCTCGTCGCGTCGTCGCTTTCGCGTCGCAGTCGTCTCGTCGTCGTCTGTGTTCTAATCGTTGCCGTGTCGTCGTCAACGTCTTGTCATTGTCGTCGTCGTCTCGTCGTGTCGTCGCCTTCGTCCTCGTGTTGTCATCTTGTCGTCGTCTCGTCGTCGTGTCGTCGTGTCGTTTTCGTTGCCGTCGTTGTCGGCCTCTCTTTGTCATCGTCGTCGTCTCGTCGTATTCGTCATCTTCTTCCTCTCGTCGTCGTCGTCTCGTCTCGTCGTCGTCTCGTTGTCGTCGTCTCGTCCTCGTCGTTTGGTCAAAGTCGTCGTCGTCGTCATCGTCTCGGGGTCGTTGTTCCCCTCCCGTCGTTGTGTCATCGTCGTCGTGTCGTCGACGTCATGTAGTCGTAGTCGTCGCCGTCGTCTTGTCATGGCGCCGTCGTCAGGTCGTCATCGTTGTCTCGTCGTCCTCGTCGTCTCGTCGTCGTCGTCTCGTCATCGTCGTCGTCGTGTCGTCTCGTCGTCGTCCTCGTCTCTCGGCATCGTCTCGTCGTCGTCTCGTCGCCGTCGTCGTGTCGTCTTTGTTGGCTGTTATGGCTGTCGTGTCGTCTTTTCGTCGTCGTATCGTCGTGTCGTCTCACCCTCCTGCTATGGCTGTTGAAGCTGATATCCGCACGCGTGGATGCCGTTGTGTTTTCGCGCGCGCAACGTCATTGCCAACGCGTATCGCGAGACATCCGCAGAATACGCACACTCAAGATCTGCCTTTGAAGCCGCGTTTCCGCGATCAGAAACCGACCATATCGGAAAGTATTTTTTGGATTAAATGTCCGGCCCCCCCCAGATCCCTCAGACGGAGCAGTCCAGCCTATTGGATGACCCGTTTGATCTCGCGGGGGGCCTTCCGGGGGCCTCTTGGAGGAGGCCTCTCTTGGGGCTTTTTGGGGGCCTCGCGGGGCCTCCTGCGCGCCTTTGGGGGTTCCTGGGGGACTCCTCTCCCGGGGCGGTAGGCTCGGATTATCGGTTCGTGCTTCTTCTCTTGGGTTTTTGTTGGGCGGCCGTCTTGGGCGCCCCTTGGGCCGTCTTCGGCGCCTTTTGGGCCGGTCTGGGCCTTCTTGGGGCCTCTCGGGTTATCTTTGGGAGATCTCGGGGGCCTCTTGGGCCGCCTTGGAGCGTCGGGGGGCCGAGCTCTTGGGCCGCAGTGTTGCAGCGCCGCGAGCAAAGGGGGCAGGGAGGCGGGCGCACGGGATGTAGCTTCCCATGTCGGCGTAGGGCGTCGGGGGAGATCGACGGTTGTCCGCGCGCGTTTCTTGGGGATGTCAGATGCGTAACCGAGTGCGGGCGATAATCATCCCTCGGCGGGGATAATAAAAAATCTTCCCGGGGATGAGGATGAAATTGATGATGACGATGAGGATGATGTTGATGATGATGATGATGACGATGACGATGACGATGGCGATGATGATGATGATGATGATGATGATGTTGATGATGATGATGATGATGATGATGATGATGATGATGATGGTGAGCTGGGCGCTCGGCACAAGGCTGACTCGAGATATCTCGAAGCTCGTGGCTTAGGAGGTCCGAGACCATCGTGCGAGTGATGGGGCAGGCCGCGTCTTTTCGGTTTTGCCCTTGAGTGCGGCCAGGATCCACCGGGGATCCCCCAAGACGGTCCAGTGGCGCCCCCAGGCGCCTGGTGGGCCGTCTTGGGGCGCTATTGGGGGCCTCTTGGCCAGTCTGGGAGTGGTCTTCGGGGCCTCTTGGGCCGGCCGTCTTGGAGCATTGGAAAGACGAAAGGGCGAGACCGCCAACATGTTTAATTTTTTGGGGGAGATTTGCCTTTGGCGGCCATTTGGAAAATCTCCTGTAGGCCTCTTGGGGCGCCCGTGAAGCCTCTTGCGCCATCTTTTGGCCATCTTGGGCGTCTTTGAACGATCGTTCGGCGACTCGGGGCCCTGTAGAACCGTCCTGGGGCCTCCTAGGCCCCTTGACCTTCATGGAGCCTCGGGGAGCCCCGGGGAGGCGTCGCGGCCGCCCAGGGCCCTCCCAAGAGCATGACCGGTGCACGCAGCGAGGTGCGTTCCGAGGAGGGTGGGGCCCCTTAGAAGTTTACAGAAACCCTGCCAGACACACTTGGCATTCTACCACGCCTCGACGTGCCAGGAGGCACGTTGGCGGATTCAGGATCATTCGATCTATTGTCAGACAACGCCCCTCACATAAGCCCGTCGACAGCGTCAGCGTCTGGCGCTGAGTATTGGATATGTGCGGAGGGCAACACTTCCAACTTCGTGTTGTTCGCCATTCCTTGCTTCGGACTGCTGTGAGATGCATGCAATGGGCATGTGAACGACATGCAGACGGATGTAGTCAAATGTTGGTTCCAGATTTGTTGGTGGGTTTATGTATGCTATTCTGGATTTCGCTAGATAGGCTGGCCGCTCTTCCACTCAAATGTGCAACAGAGATCACTCCGATGTAGCAGGCGTGTTGTTCTTAGCAATGTTGCTTCACGAACTGATCGCATTGATTTGACAAGTGATGTTTCTTCCATGCAGTCGTCATGCCTTCTGGTCCTTGTCCCTCAAACTCATTTCATGTGACCTTTGGATGTGTTGCTCCATGTTGCATTTTGGTGGGGGCTGGACTTCAGCGCGCGCTTGTGATATCACTATGTTTGTCAAGGCGTACGCAAAAGACATTAGGGGCATGTCGCCCAAATTGATTGGTTTGTGTCGGGGCGCCACAAGATACGCACTGGTTCAGTATATCGACCTGCGAACAATTTCGAACGATTCGCGTGGTTTGATCACGCAGGGCCCATTGACTCAAGCTACCGTGCGTTACCATTTGGTATATGGCAAGCCGGTCGTGAATACTGATGGTGATGATCGTTCAGTGTGTCAGGCATCCGAGCAGGGAGACGAGTTGGGACATCTGAGCTCGCGCTTTGAGTGAATTTCGAACAGAAGCGCGATATGATGCCACGACGTGGTTACCCCCCCTTACATCGGACATCGTGTTCGGAGGGGTGGCCAGTTGCGCGCTGCATCGCCGTTTCTGTCACAGCCAGTCGCGGCATCTTGTGAGGAACATCGGCATCGTGGTCTGGCAACGTTAGGGGGGACAGGCTCAGGGGGAGATGCATCGACTTCCAATCGTCCATTCATCGCCGACGGGAACTCGAGCGCCCACCCCGCACAGGGAGGTGCAGATCCGCTTTCGGGGACCTATCGCCGATCCATCGGCAGCTAGATGTTTCCACACTGAGATGGTCCCCCCCTGACGCCCCTTTCTGTTTGGTAGCAAATCATGGGAGCATGATCTGCCCTCTCAATTCCGTCTTTCGCATCGATTAGCGTCTGAGAGTGGACGAAATGGCGCCGATCTAGCGTCCATCTAGCGTCCATTTAGCGTCGACCTCGCGCCGACTTCGCGTCGACCAGCGTCGACCAGCGTTGATTCGCAAGAGCCGCAAGATGACCTGGGAAGCTCCCAGGGGTGACCACCGAAGGCTTGCGCACCCTGTCGGGGGAGCGCCCGGCGCCGTGCGCCCCCCCCCCCCAGGATCGTGGACGACGACGACCCTGGCACCCTGCAGTGGG